ACTGCTGGTCTAGATGTAAAGTGAGATGAGATGAGGTGAGGTGACCGTCACACAGTAAGTAGCAACTCAGGTTTACAATGTGTACTAACACTGCCACATTACACCAGCGGTGGAACAAGAATGTGTTATTTGAAGGTTGTGTTAAGGCCATTTAGCAAAGTTTAAACAATTATGCTTATCAACTGACAATGAGTGCCTCAATTAAACAGGTACAATGTTTTTGTTCATAATATCTTGGTTTTAACCTGGTGTAAGACCATGAACACCGACCAGAGATGAAAGGTTGGATCATCAAAGTACAATTTTACGTTATCACCTTTTTTCACTGATCGATTGATACAACAGTTTTGCCTTCTAAATCAAACCCGCCGTGACACATTTATGCTAAACAGGATCTGATCAGACTCCCCGAATATTCCCGGCAATCCATGGGACATTGGCTAGGATCATCAATGGGTGTGGCGGAAGAGGTGTTATTCACTGATCGTGTTAAGCGTGCTTTACACTGATCACCATATGGCTTATTGGTTTCCTGTCAGATTCATCTGGTTTGGCTTGGCAACTCCTTGACAAATGTTCAAATACTGCAATAAGTTCTAATTCATCTAATAAGCTAAATGTATACGTATTACAAACAGAAATATGACAACTATATGCCCTGAAAGAAGCCCCAGTGTTATTGAAGTGGATTCAGCGTTATAACAACGATGAGTGATAATGTCTGGACCACGTAAGCCAATGTTTGAAGGTACATGTATTGCGGCTAACCGGTTGACGTTAGTCGAGATTCACTGGGTGCTGGGACCTATTGTTCCCTGAAATACACCGTGCAGGACCTGGAGCCATAAACACATGAAGTGTCAGCAATAGTATGATCACTGCGTTAAATCGCTAATGTTTGATTTTTAACTTAGTATATAATCACAAAGCACTAAAATGCACTGACATTCCACAAACACAACCTTCTGTATACCGTTTAATTTAGGATGGGCGTATCCGCTAAATTAATTGACATCGCGGCTTTTTGTCTTTAAGCAGTAATCCCTTTATCCGCGTATGCTATTGATCGCACCATGAAATGTGATCAAGCAAACGCAGAAACCTCTAGTTGTTATTAAATACGTATTTGAATACATAAGAGTCCCGGCTTCTCCACGGGATTCAGTTGTGAGCCTCGGAAAGATAGAGTAAGGAAGCATCTGTCAAGGTAAGGCCCATGAACCTTGCTATGGAATAACTCGGTATACCTGACTTGTTGACAATGTTGGGTACATTTGTATGCTTGTATTTGAAAGTGTTTCTACTCACACAGTTTACATTGGTTTCAGTTTGCAAGGATGCTGTGTCCGTATGTTGCCCTGCTGACGGTGGTGTTTTGTGTGTGCAGCATTAACGCCCAAGGCGAGTACTTCCACTTTAACCATACCAAATGTGTTTCTGAGGATGGTCATTTTTGTTTTACACTGAAGTTCTGTATTTAAAGATTTCTTTTCGAAATACAGTGATTTGTGTGTCCCTAGTATGGTGATCAGCCTTCAGTTGCTGGTGATCTATAGCCCTGTTTTATATTGTATTGTTGTCTATAGTGATACAGTTTTATGATAGCGTACTAGTTTTAAATTAAGAGCTGTGATATTATAGTAGTTTAACTGTCCTTCGATGACAGGTTTTTATTTTCTCAATTTATTTTTTATTGATATGAATTACATTGTTCTCGTCACGATATGGCTGAGATAATGCCGATGTGACGTTAAATCTTAACTCACTCACTCACTCAGTGATTTGTGTTGTTGAGTGTGTATAATTTAAACACAGAAGGGATGCTGCAGTGATTGCCGGCAAAGCTTAATTTTTGCCTCAGCCCCAACTCAGTAATCAAGCAGATCTTCTCCCGGGTACGTGGTGATGGACAATATCTCCTCTACTCAGTCTCTTTAGCTCTAGCATACAAAGTTCATTTTTGTTGAAGAAGCGGTTTGTCGCATTGACGAATCAATATTAGTGTAAGACAGTGACAATATTTTCGGAAATGATAAATATTACGATTGATCAGAATTGGTCCCCAGTATGAGTTGGTCGAGTGAGCAGCCATAATTGATCGGGCGGTAAGGCTCACTGACCCGTCAACTTTTACTGAACCTGCCTGGTTCACTTATTCACACCAAAAGTTACTACTTTCATCAACGACGTTTTTTCAGAATTATTTTCCAAGTATTCGTAACCATCCAAATACAGAATATGCGAAACCGAATTAAAGATTGCGTTTCATACACGTGAATGTAATAGTATGCTGTTCAGTTTTGACCTATCAGTGGCTTTCATGGACAATGGACAATTGTTAAATGAGCATAGACATGCTTTGATCATCTCATCTAACACTAATCTTTGGTACAATTCAAGAGGGGTGTAATACAGGATCTTGCCCTAATAGCATACAATAAAGAGCAGGTGCATTTTTTAGTAAAAGTGAGTCGATTATAGCATGTTTAATATATGAAATTTTCTATTTGCTTATTCACAAACACTGTCGATAGTAAAAGCAACATCAACTTATACGCAAAACCATGTATGGTTAACGTTCTAGGTGCAATTCCCGCTTGGCTTCAGACGCGATTATCACCTTAGCAGATGATGAAGTTAAAAAAAAAAAACCTCTGCTTTCACGTTAGCTATGTTGAAACAACGACTATCACTATATCTAGAAAAGCGATGTCGCATACTCTGATGATTTTGAACTTGTGACAGGATATAGTCCCAGAAGAGCAGGCCATCCTCAGATGCTGCTACAGTCAGGTAGGGTGTAATCTTGGTAGGAACAGGTTTTCTTCATCGACCTTCTTGCTGAAGGTAGGTTGCTAATCTTAGTGGGAACATGTTTACTTCATCGACCTTCTTGCAATAGGTAGGTTGGTAATCTTGACAGGAACAGGTTTACTTCATCGACCTTCTTGTTGTAAGTAGGTTGGCAATGTTGACAGAAACAGATTTACTACATCGACCTTCTTGCTGAAAGTATGTTGCTAATCTTAGTAGGAACAGGTAACTTATATAAGTGACCTTATTGAAGTAGTGAGGTTGTTAAACCTTTTCGTAGGAAAAAGTTTTCTTCATCGACCTTCTTGCTGAAGGTAGGTTGCTTATCTTAGTAAGAACAGGTTTACCTCATCGACCTTCTTCCTGAAGTAGGTTGGTAATCTTGACAGGAACAGATTTACTTCATCGACCTTCTTCCTGAAGTAGGTTGGTAATCTTGACAGGAACAGGTTTACCTCATCGACCTTCTTCCTGAAGTAGGTTGGTAATCTTGACAGGAACAGATTTACTTCATCGACCTTCTTCCTGAAGTAGGTTGGTAATCTTGACAGGAACAGATTTACCTTATCGACCTTCTTCCTGAAGTAGGTTGGTAATCTTGACAGGAACAGATTTACTTCATCGACCTTCTTCCTGAAGTAGGTTGGTAATCTTGACAGGAACAGATTTACCTTATCGACCTTCTTCCTGAAGTAGGTTGGTAATCTTGACAGGAACAGATTTACTTCATCGACCTTCTTCCTGAAGTAGGTTGGTAATCTTGACAGGAACAGATTTACCTCATCGACCTTCTTCCTGAAGTAGGTTGGTAATCTTGACAGGAACAGATTTACTTCATCGACCTTCTTCCTGAAGTAGGTTGGTAATCTGGACAGGAACAGATTTACTTCATCGACCTTCTTCCTGAAGTAGGTTGGTAATCTGGACAGGAACAGATTTACTTCATCGACCTTCTTCCTGAAGTAGGTTGGTAATCTTGACAGGAACAGATTTACTTCATCGACCTTCTTCCTGAAGTAGGTTGGTAATCTTGACAGGAACACATTAACTTCATCGACCTTGTTGTAAGTAGGTTGGCAATGTTGACAGAAACAGATTTACTTCATCGAATTTCTTGCTGAAGTAGGTTGGTAATCTTGACAGGAACAGATTTACTTCATCGACCTTCTTGCAATAGGTAGGTTGGTAATCTTGACAGGAACAGGTTTACTTCATCGCCCTTCTTGTTGTAAGTAGGTTGGCAATGTTGACAGAAACAGATTTACTTCATCGAATTTCTTGATGAAGTAGGTTGGTAATCTGGACAGGAACAGATTTACTTCATCGACCTTCTTGCAATAGGTAGGTTGGTAATCTTGACAGGAACAGGTTTACTTCATCGCCCTTCTTGTTGTAAGTAGGTTGGCAATGTTGACAGAAACAGATTTACTTCATCGAATTTTTCTTGCTGAAGTAGGTTGGTAATCTGGACAGGAACAGATTTACTTCATCGACCTTCTTGTTGTAAGTAGGTTGGCAATGTTGACAGAAACATATTTACTTCATCGAATTTCTTGCTGAAGTTGGTTGGTAATCTGGACAGGAACAGATTTACTTCATCGACGTTCTTGCTATAGGTAGGTTGGTAATCTTGACAGAAACCAACGGAAACGTGGAAAGGCGCTATATAAATGGCCTATTATTATCATTATAGAAACAGATTTACTTCATCGAATTTCTTGATGAAGTAGGTTGGTAATCTTGACAGGAACAGGTTTACTTCATCGACCTTCTTCCTGAAGTAGGTTGGTAATCTTGACAGGAACAGATTTACTTCATCGACCTTCTTGTTGTAAGTAGGTTGGCAATGTTGACAGAAACAGATTTACTACATCGAATTTCTTGATAAGTAGGTTGGTAATCTTGACAGGAACAGGTTTACTTCATCGACCTTCTTGCTATAGGCAGGTTGGTAATCTTGACAGGAACAGGTTTACTTCGTGGACCTTATTGTTGTAAGTAGGTTGGCAATGTTCACAGAAACAGATTTACTTCATCGAATTACTTCATAAGTAGGTTTGTAACCTTGACAGGAACAGGTTTACTTCATCGACCTTCTTGCTGTAGGTAGGTTGGTAATCTGGACAGGAACAGGCTTGCTTCATCGACCTAATTGCTGTAGGTGGGTTGGTAATCTTGAAAGGAACATGTTCACTTCATCGACTTTCTTGCTGAAGGTAGGTAGCTAATTTTGGTAGGAACAGGTTTACTTCATCGACCTCCTCCCTGAAGGTAGGTCGGTAATCTTGACAGGAACAGATTTACTTCAACGGCCTTCTTGCTGAATTTAGGTTAGTAATCTTGACAGGAACAGGTTTACTTCATCGACCTTCTTGCCGTCGGTAGGTTGGTAATCCTGACAGGAACAGGTTTACTTCATCGAATTTCTTGCATAGGTAGGTTGGTAATCTGGGCAGGAACAGGTTTACTTCATCGACCATCTTGCTGAAGTAGGTTGGTAATCTAGACAGGAACAGGTTTACTTCATCGACCTTCTTGCTGAAGTAGGTTGGTAATCTGGACAGGAACAGATTTCCTGCATCGACCTTCTTGTTGTAAGTAGGTTGGCAATGTTGACAGAAACAGATTTGGTAATACTGTTACCAAATGGATGAGTTTCCAGACGCAGCGCCCTGGTAAATCTGTTTTAGAACTGTGTCATAAACAATATTCTAGTACGTCAACTTTAGTGGCAACACATCTTTGATCCGAAGCTGTTAAATTGTGTTTCGTAAAAAGTACCAAAAACTGGAACACAATCCCACTCAGCCATCAAGAAGCATGTGCTTGTGGTTGGGGTGAATATTCATTGCTTTACGCCACATCAGCAAGTTTCCAGCTTTTGCAGAGAGACTTGGAGACTTCGTGGCAAAATGTTTTAAGTTGACCTGTTGACATGGAGGTACTAACGTGAAGCAACACGGGGCATCGATGTAATGTAACTAATTCTTTTTGTTCTTACAGGAATTACAGATTTGATTTTTTTCGATTTTGTTCCGGAGAACATCTACGAAGGACAGTCCAACAACTCTATCACATTGCGTCGGTTTGGTACGGATGTAGGGGATATCACAATTAACTACACCGTCAGCGGAATTGGAATTACTTCCCCAGATGATTTCACTGGAGGGGTCTTCTCAATTGTTTACCCTAGTAATACGGTCCCACTGAAGGTCCCAATTGACTTTTTGATAACTCTGTAAGTACACTCTGATTGATTGCATGTATTGAACTACAGATTAATTGTTGTGCTCTTTATTGCAAGACTAAACAAAATGCATGTTACCTTATTACAGTTTGAGTATAAGTGACTTCTTTGATTGGCATTCTAGAAGTTGGGTATATGAAGAATGAGGACTTTTTTTCTGGATATACAACTTCTTTGTTCTGTATAGGCGACATTTTGACATAGATATTAATGTCGTTCCCTACTGGCTGCCCATCAACATCCTTAATCTCTTATGTATACAACCATGTACATCTTCTTTACTGGCTTCCTATCAACCTACTTAATCCTGTGTTATCATCATCTTCTATTATATAAACAACTCATTTTCGCCTCATCCCTCATATGTTGTACAAACAACTCATGTATATATATATATATCACCCAAAATTACTTCTCATGCACCACTTGCTTGACAACGACATTAGAATCTATGTCGAAACGTCGCCTATACACAATAAAGAAGTTGTATATCCATAAAAATAGTCCTCATTCTACAGTATAAGTGGTTTAGATACTGTACTGTTTGAACTGTACCTTATTACATTATATTACCTATTCTCAAATAAAGCAAAAATCAAGACCTAGAGAGGGGTGACAACTGATCCCGGGTCTTCATCATGACGTGTAAACTGGAATTCCTCACTGTTAATAGGCAGGATGAGATGAATCCTACAAATGCTGGGTCTTTTATATGATTGTGGAAAGAAGTCCTGTCTGACCGTGTACCGCCAAACCTTGGTTAGACAGGATATTAATACGATTGGTGGTGAAAACCTTCACAGAAGTAGCTGTCTCAGATCAGTTCCAATGTGTTCATTGCTTGTTTGGACATTGATAAACTGTTCGCAATAATACCATTCCCTGTTTGGACATTGATAAACTGTTCACAATAATACCATTGCGTGTTCATATTAACTGTTCTTTTTGACGAGGGGCGGTGGGGTAGCCTTGTGGTTAAGGGGTTTGCTCGTCAAGCCGAAGACCCGAGTTCTATGCCCCACAATGTGTGAAACACATTTTCGGTGCCCCCCACCGTGGCACTGCTGGAATATTACGAAAAGCGACGTAAAACTAAACTCACTCACTCTTAGACGAGAGCCGAAGAAGGCCATCCGAGTTAACCCATAGACAATCCCTAAAACGTGAGTAATGGCACAGTAGCTTGCTCACCTCCAAGATTTAATCCTGAATGGTCGTCGAGTAATGGGGAACGAAATTGCTGGAGAGTGGGCCATTTCAAATGGAAGTAATTACACAATTACTCCTTGAACATTTACACATGTTCAAGGTCTCGACAAGATGGTACCATGATATCTTAATGCTCAGAATCAGAATCAACTCGAGAACCTGCAGGAGTTATTAATGCAGATGCTGATAACGTTCAGTCATAGCTGTTAACTCGGGATGAAACCTGGACTCGCCGCTAGGATTCGAACACCACACTCAAGTCCATACAGTAGAAGCACATACACAGCACCAATAGCGTTTCAACGATGTTTAGGGATTTTTACTTGAAGACCGCAATTAAGAAAACAACCCAGAAGAATGTTTTGCTACTCCATTAGATTACGCTATTACAGTGTCGATTTGCCAAGGCTGCTGTTCGAGAATGTGGATTCGAGTAACTGAATTATCCTCCAGACAATCCAAACCTAGGCCCCGGTGATTGTTATTTCCTTTATAATTTATATTCACACCTGTGTGATGATGATCACAAGATGGCCAAGGCTGGCCCGTTTTTTTATTCGATCATCCGAGTTCTTATTCCAGGGTATCAGTAGCAGGACACATAGACCAAGTGCATCAAAGTACAGATTGACTGCATTGAAAAATAAGAACAAAACAGTTCTAATGCTGCCAATTAAAGATTGAGTTCTATGAAGTTTTTACCTCCCCTCGTCTATTGTCAATGTAACCTTCCAATGATAACCCACTCATTCTCCATCTCTTTCAGGACTGTGATTCCAGTCGAACAATAGTGGTGAGGTTAACCGCCATCGATAAAGCACCTCTACCGGAGTCTGACGTGAAGCACTTCATTGTGGTTGATGACGATGGAGGTGAGTTCATATATATGTTTGGAACATCATATTACTAGGGACATATTCGCCTACAGAATTTGGAATGCCAATGGATTGTGAAATACTATTCTGTGAAGTGCATTAACTTTATTTGTATGCTATTTGTTTTTACTTCAGTATGGACCGCGTGGGATACGTCGGAGGGACCTTGTAATTGTGAAGCGGCTATGCGAGATCGGGTCAGGAATCGCACGTGCGATAACAAAGGAATTCCCGGGCGCACATGCGACGGACCTGACACAATAATCGACACGGTATCCTGTGCTGGCGACCCTGCTTGCACAAGTACTAATACACATTAATATTTTAATTGTCGAATGAACTTATGATTCTGCTTATCGAACAAGAAAACTAACCATCTAGATAAAATAGGATCCAGTATAAGAAAAGAATTCTTGAAACACATCGAAAGTCATACCTGTGATCCTGACCTGGGTGTAATGGCTTCGTAGGAGTCAGTTTACCCTCCAAGCTCTGTCACGGTATTGGGTAGTATGGTTGTGGGTGGGTGTGGGGGTGTGGCGGGTGTTTGGGGAGGGGGAGTGGGGGTGGAGAGTGATGCACTCCGTTGGCTGAAACCAGCTGACAGCAGGTACCATTCATCTGTTTCGAGGCTGTAGCACGATGAAGGGTGCCATGATTTGACGACTTGATATCCAGTTTCGTAAAACCCTTTTATTTCAGTTTAATTAGCAAACGTCCGTGGAAGGCAGACGAGGTAAGTCAGTATGAGCATTAATATTACATGTTTCATTATATTTCGGTTGTATTTCTTTCCCTCATAACGTGTTCAACAATATTTTCAGCAACAACTACAGAAATGCCGACGACTTCAACAACCCCCGCGCCAGGTGTGTTGGAAATTGTACACATCATTTTCGTCTATAACACACAACAAACTAGGCTTTAATAGATAACTGTCTGAAAGCAAGCCATAGTTTACCTACAGCGATACAAGTTGTTCATTCTCATGAAACTCCAAGAAGTATTTGTGGAGCTGTTTACTGTCCACTGTCCGTGAAGTGCCTGATCCGCGGCAACGACTATTCCATCCATTACAACCTCCCTACCCACCTGCTACAAGTATTGTGGCGTGTCAGGACGCCATCGGACTAGTCAGCGACTAATCGCTGTCGTTGATGTGATCGATACACTCGGAATTAAGTTCTATGCATGATGTAACTGATAAACCGTTGGAACTGTTTGAACCGCTAATACTTATCAGCAGAGTACTTGGGATCAAGATAAAGGGTCGTGGTCACGTGGGATGACACTATTAGTTTTTGGTAAGGTATACATATTGATTAATTTATCTTGCATTACATTAAATGCTTTTGATTGGGTTAGGAGCGGGCAAGTATTTTCCGGTAGCCCCCTCATAGCCGGGTTAAAACTTTTGGAGCTAAGTGACAAAATCAGTCGGAACACATCTTAGGTATCTTACTTATCTCTCATAAGTATGAAATCAAATGAGATGAACCTAGGTTCACCCGAATGCATTAGGTAAAGTGAAGTAACTCGGTTTGCCAGTGTGTTGGTGCAGTGAAACTGTGCATTAAGGTTAATGACTTGCATTATAAATGTCTGTGACCCTCTCCAAACGTCATAGGCTCCAACACAGGCTACATCACAGGTACCTTATCTTGCCTTATTGTGACTGAAAGAACATTTGCCAATGAGTTTATTGAGACCATTGCACGTAATCATGTTCTTGCATTCAGACGGTTTATCCAGTTCCCAATCACTGGGACATTATCCCGGACGAAATTTTATACAGCACGAACCTGTGAAGATCCGGGTTAGAATTGATCTTCAGTAACCCATGCTTGTCGTAAAAGGCGACTACCGACATCGGGCTGTCAGGCTCGCTGACTTGGTTGACACATGTCATCGTATACCCATTGCGTAGATCGATGCTCATGCTGTAGATCACTGGATTGTCTGGTCCAGACTCGATTATTTACAGACCGCCGCCATATAGTTGGAATGCTGCTGAGTGCGGAGTAAAACTAAACTCATTCGCTCAATTTATACCGGACGATGCATATTTCTAGCGTAATAGTCCGGATTGACCAGTTGCTTAGTTACTGAATCATGAGCAGGGAGTTACAGGAATAACCGTTCCCAACATAAGTTAAGGAACAAGGATGTCAGGCGGAGTTCACCACAGACAGTGCGTCAGTTGTTTATGTGTATTCATTTATGCCATATTTCATTGTTATATCATCTTCTGCTATGTCAGAATGCTACACTCCCTGGGGGTGCTGGAAGCCGGGTCCATGCTCGGTGTCATGTGGGCAGGGGTCGCTGGTGGAGACGCGGAACAGAGAACTACTAGACTGTGGCAACAACGCCTGTGACCAGCCCTTGGAACAGAACAGGACAGCAGTGTGCATGGAGCAGAACTGCATGTGTGCAGAGGGTAAGGGATAGAGAGAGAAAGATATGGAGGGTAAGGGATAGAGAGAGATGGAGGGTAAGGGATAGAAGAAGGATATGGAGAGTAAGGGAGATGGAAAGAGATGGAGGGAGGGAGAGAGATGGAAGAGAGGGACAGAGTGAGATATGGAGGGTAGAGAGAGGGGGAGGAGGAGAGAGAGATGGAGGGAGGAAGAGGAGAGAGAGAGATGGAGGGAGGAAGAGGATGGAGAGAGAGAGGAGGGAGGAGGGAGAGAGAGAACAGAGGAGGAGGGAGCAGAGAGTAGAGGTAGAAGGGAGCAGAAATGGAGGGAGGATAGGGAGCAGAAGGGTTACAGGAGGGTGGAAGGAGGGAGAGAGATGGAGGGAGGAAGAGAGAGATGGAGAGAGGAGGAGGGAGGGAGAGATGGAGAGGAGGACGAGGGAGAGAGGAGAGAGATTGAGGGAGGGTAGAGGAGAGGGAGAGATGGAGGGGAAGAAGTGGGAGAGGGGATGGAGGTAGAGAGACACAGAGATGGAGCAGAACTGCATGTGAGGAGAGGGCAAGAGAGATGGAGGGAGGAAGAGAGAGAGGAAGAGAGAGACATGGAGGAAGAAGAGGGAGACACAGAGAGAGAGAAAGAGAGAGAGAGAGAGAGAGAGAGTATCAAGGCAATGGATCATAGGTATATACGTGACACGTGGAAGTAAGTAAACATCGTGTGTGCAGCCTTATTCTTTTGACTAAAGAACCAATCTGAAACATGTTACACAGTGAAATATACAAATGTAATTTAGTACACGTCTGAAGGGTAAGATTGCTTTTAATGTTCAAAACTGTAATGCAAATAAGAAAACAATGACACAAAACACATAAACAACACAGCACCAACATTTAATGTAACACACGCACTGGTAATGTATCAAAGGACAAATGTGTCAATGTTTACTCACATACAAATTCTACTTCATCAGACGGCTGCATGCTTGCACAACTATTTCTCATATCGGTATGGCTATTATAAAAGGAGGGAAAGAGCGGTGTCAAAATGGCCATCCGGCTGTGTAGTTTAAATCATAATTGAGCCAAATTGATTTTCAAAGAGTGTTTTTTTGCACTCATTTTTCATATTATTCTGATTTGACGTGGGCGCTGTTGTTTGTGGGCACATGGCGTGGTCAGTATCAGATTCCTGTATCACCTGGCGTTCCATTATATGTCACGCCGGATTCAGCTTCAATTAAACTACTCACTCACTCAGAATAATTCGACACTTCCAATGAACCAAAGAATTACTGTCTTGAATCTCGTCCTGTCGCAGAACTAATATTGGACGACGGACGATGGCGATTATCTAGACATGGCTATACTTTGAACACACCATCGTCGGTCAGACATATTTTCTGTACCATGCTAATAAGATGTTATTGTATTTGCTCTAGCTCTTACTCGATGGTCTGAATGGTTGGCTAGCGGTAGTTGTTCGAATACTTGCGACGGCTTGATAACGGAGACACGGAACAGGACTTGCAGAAAGCTGTCTGGCTGCACAGGCGTTGCCCTTGACCAGACACGGGTTGAAACCTGTTCTAGTGCTTGCTAACGGAAGTCGGGGTCAAACAGGTGTGTACCTCATCTCCAAACCTTTCCCCGTGTCTGTGCTTTCTTAGTGTAAGAACACAGGTACGTGTTGTCTCATTAATATAACACAGGTATGTACCATCAAATTCGTGGCAGCTTCAGTGTGCAAACACAGGTATGTACCAGATAATGAGGGAAGCTTCAGTTTGCAAGCACAGGTATGTACCAACATAATGAGAGAAGCTTCAGTTTGCAAGCACAGGTATGTACAAATATAATGAGGGAAGCTTCAGTTTGCAGGCACAGGTAATTACCCGCATATTGACGGTAGTTTTGATAAGGCAAGCACAGGTATGTACCCACATATTAACGGTAGTTTCAGTTTGCAAGCACAGGTAAGTAAAAGCATGTTGACCGTAGTTTTGATAAGGCAAGCACAGGTAAATACCCGCATATTGACGGTAGCTTCAGTAAAGGAACACATGCATGTCAATTACGCTTCGTTAACAATAGGCGAAACCAATGCTGGTGATTGTGCGGGCAGACAATCGTGACACATCTATGTAAAGCGAACTGGATAACACTAAACCACCTGACCTTTGATGATAATATACAGCGTTCTGCTCACTCGTATTGGCGGTACTTCATGTTCTTAACGTCTGGTGTTTAGTGACCTGTAGCTCCCTTTTCTTTCTGCAGATGAAGCCGTGTCAGCATCCTGGCCAACAATGTTGATATCAATATGGACATTAAGACCCATCTGTTGTTCAATAAAATTTGCGTGTTCAAACATATATGCGTATGTTATTTCTTCAGATGCATGTGATTAGAGAACATGCTAAGAAGAGTAAGTGGAAAAGTGAGTTTAGTTTTACGCCGCACTCAGCAATATTCTAGCTATATGGCGGCGGTCTGTAAATAATCGAGTCTGGACCTGACAATCCAGTGATGAACAGCATGAGCTGGGATATCAGGATACGATGACATGTTTCAACAATGTCAGCTAGCTTGACCACCCGATTGCTCAGAAGATAATATTGCACACGTTCTGATAGGCCCAAACATCAGAATTAATCGTCATCTTGAAAGTGACGTGTCTTAGAATTATGAGTATACATTGCAGCAGTACTGCTAAGCTTTAAAACCGTTACTTATATATATATACATCTAAAGAGAATTAATACATGAATTAATTGTATGCATAAAGAGGATTAACAACAACAACAACGTTTGTCGGTAATTAAAGCAGTAACAACTGGAGTAAGATATTACCATGTCTAAAAGCAAAAACGCTATTTCGATTATTGCTATATTTGAAAATATTGTTAAGGTCAAAAACAATGATTTGATTATTGGTATAGTCAAAATCAATGTTTTGATTATTGCTGGAGTTACAAACAATGTTTTGATTATTGCTTCTGTTAAAAAATGTTTTGATTATTGCTACAGTTCAAAATAATGTTTGAATTATTGTTATCGTCAAAAACAATGTTTCGATTATTGTTATTGTCAAAAGAACAACGTTTCGATTTTTGCAATAGTCAAAAACAATGTTTCGATTATTGCTACAGTCAAAAACAATGTTTGTATTATTGCTATTGTTAAAAACTATGTTTTGATTTTTGCTACAGTTTAAAACAGTATTTCGATTATTGTTGTCGTAAAATCAATGTTTCGATTAATGTTATTGTCAAAAACAATGTTTCGATTATTGCTACAGTTAAAACAATGTTACGATGATTTCTTCTGATAATAAGTTGTTTCGATTATTGCTACAGTTCAAAATAATGTTTCAATTATTGTTATCGTCAAAATTAATGTTTCGATTAATGTTATTGTCAAGAACAACGTTTCGATTATTGCAATAGTCAAACTAAATGTTTCGATTATTGTTATAGTCAAAAACAATGTTTTGCTTATTGTTATAGTCAAAATAATGTTTAGATAATTGCTACAGTCAAAAATAATGTTTTGATTATTGTTATTGTCAAACACATTGTGTCAATTATTGCTACAGTCAAAAACAATACATGTATTTTGATTATTGCTACTGTTAAAAAAAATGTTTTGATTATTGCTACAGTTAAAAAGAATGTTTCGATTACTGTTTTCGTGAAAATCAATGTTTTGAGTATTGTTATAGTCAAAAACAATGCTTCGATTATTGCTACAGCCAAAAAGAATGTTTGAATTATTGCAATGGTCAAAAACAATGTTTCGATTATTGTTATAGTCAAAAACAATGTTTCGATTATTGTTACAGTTAAAAACAAAATTTTCGATTATCGTTCTAGTCAGTAACAATGTTTGCAATATTGCTACAGTCAAAAACAATGTTTTGATTTTTTCAAAAGTTAAAAACACTCTGTCGATATTATTGTGATAAGGGACAAACTACTGTTGTGATAGGTTTTAGCGTTAGTCATGGCAACATATAAAATAGGTTGAGACACACACCAATGCCTGAAAATAAGAGTATGTGATATTTGTGGCAAGGGCATTTCAAAAGAAAGCTCCCAATCACACGGTGAATGTGACTAAGAGTGGTATGCCGGAATTATTCTGATATCAGCGTTGAATGACACGGTGTTCTCCCTCAATATAAATATGACGCAGTAGACACTCTTGTCTGAATTAGTGTAAAGGATTCCACAACAGAATTAGACGTTCGGAGACGTGACTGATATACAATACATATTACTCTAGACTAACGCTTAGTCCACGAATATATATAATTTTGATAGTAACAACTAAACCCATTTAAATCGAAAAGGAGCCCCAGTGAGTTGGGAGAAGTCTGCTTCTAGACTTGCTTCATTTAAGGCTTTAGCACTGCAGAGAGGGCTAAGCATTACTCCATTAGGGAAAATAATGCTTTTATGTCATTTTAACATGTATCAAAAATTAAATCATGTGTTGCAACGGCGGTAATTATTCTAATTTCTTATCTGTAAACAAGGTGTCCGCCAAGGAGAGAATTTGTCTCCAGTTTTGTTTTCACTATTTCTTAATGATCTTAAAGATGCTTTAGCTACAACAGATTCATGTTGTGGTTTACAACTTAAACCCGGTGATTTTCACAACCGCTTAGATACGCTTATTACACTTTGTGCATTGCTATATGCTGATGATACCGTCCTTATGTCCTCAGGTCCTTGTGATTTGCAAAATATGTTGCATTCCTTTCATAATTATTGTACAAAAATGAAAGCTTAAAATTAACACACCCAAATCCATAATTCTTATTTTTGGTTTATCCAAAAAAGAATAAAAAAGAAGTTTAAGTTTTGGAGATACTATCCTGGAAAATATAGATTATTTTCCCTATCTTGGCATTACACTACAAACGAATAGTAAATTTACTGAAATCAAACGTATACTTGTGGCAAAGGCAACAAAAGCAATGTTCTTCATAATAATCCAAGGCACAAAACGTAAACTTTCCATTGATTGTCATTTGAAATTGTTGGGCTGTATGGTAACCCCAATTCTTTCAGATGAAGGTGAGGTCTGGGGATGTTAAAATACTTTCTGTTTTGAAAATGTACATCTACGCTTTCTCAAATATTCAGCATCACTCAGGAAAAGTACACATAACTTTGTGGCATATGGCAAGTTGAGTAGATTCCCACTTGTAAATGTTATTAAAACCAGAATGGTATGTTTTGGGTCTAATCTTTTAACCAGAAATCGTCATAATTGTGCTTCTTAATATATAAATTAATTTCCAACGATTATGTATTTCACAAATATGAACAAAAATGGATAATCTACCTTGAGAGAAGTTTCGACGACCTGGGTTTAGCTTTACCTTCAAATCCCAAAATTTTAAAAGTATATTTTGGCTTAAAGCGTTTATTATCAATAGTAAATTAAAAGATATCCATCAGCAAACATGGATAGCTTTTTGAAAAATGCATTATCTCAGTTTTGAACAATACAGGTTCTATTTAAGAAATAACCTCAATACCTTAACTTGGTCGATGTATGTTGCTCCCATCATACCGTCTGTATATAACTTGTATGTTGTATAAATGTAAATATTGTTTATGCACATCTTATGCTGCAGTTTGCAGTCTGAGTGAAATAAAGTTCAGTTCAGTTCAGCTCAGCTCAGTTCAGTTCAGTAAATAATGACATGAACTGAACAACTGTGCAGCACACTTGGCCTTTTACACCCGCTTCTCTTTGATGTTGGTGTATTTTCATGTAGCTTCATACAGTTTCAGATCCAAGCAGTCGTTCTTTCAGTGTAAAATAGTTAATTGATTTTCAATGAAACTAAACTTCCTCAATGCCGTACACTATACAATATGGCTGAAACTGTGTTCGAATACAGTCATCATTATCAATAGGTCTGCATGAGCTTGCCTGTTTGTTTGAGTTGATACTTTTCGCGAAATGTGGGCCTCCCCTTTTGTGTAATGTTTATTAAAGTATATACTATAAGCTTAAGATACTATTTTCATAACCATTACACAGAACTGCAATAGATAAAAAGACAAGTTACTAGCTAATATTGGGATCTTAAATTCTTTTCGCGTGTAGGTCCTTGAAACTAAAAAGCACGACGTTAAAACGTACTATCAAAATCACTGGTAACGATGGTTAAACCTGCTGCTCGTTTCTAGACATGTCAGGTGAACAACAGACTTACCTGACATGTGGGGCAGGATATGAACACGTAATGTCATTACTATTTTATATAGGTTCATAAACACACGATTACAATGTGCATGTGTTCGTACAAGGTACTCTGCTTCCGTACATATTTCTCATGATTATGAAAATGACAACCTTGTTTACCACATCAGAGCAACGTTTCCTTATCAAGCAGGTGATGAGAAGTAGGCTTCAGGCTTGGTCGGTTTGGGTTTGGGCTGGACTGTTGTCGGAAAGGTTCTTTTGAAGTACTTGCTGTGATGCTGGCTGAGGTTGGCAAAGACATGTTGGATATGCTTATGTTCATGTTCAAATACACGGTTACTGCAGATGCTTATGTCCATGCAAAAAAGGACTCGGTTGCTGCAGATGCTTATGTCCATGCTCAAGGACACGGTTACTGCAGATGCTTATGTCCATGCTCAAGGACACGGTTACTGCAGATGCTTATGTCTATGCTCAAGGACTCGGTTGCTGCAGATGCTTATGTCCATGCTCAAGGACACGGTTACTGTAGATGCTTATGTCCATGCTCAAGGACACGGTTACTGCAGATGCTTATGTCCATACTCAAGGACACCGCTGCTGCAGCAGACGTGCTTGTCTCTCTTGGTCAGGGTTGAGATTACTCAGCTTCAGGGAGAAACGAAGGTACTGGTCAGAATGGGTTGGCTTCCTGCAGACAGTCGTTTGAATTTTGTTGATGGGTTGTCTGGATACAAAGGCGTTGCGGAAGGGATGTTTGTTGTCGTTCTCTATATTGACTTGATAAATAGGTGATTGAGTGGGGTCCTGAGTGCCGTGGTACAAGTGATCGTAACTGTTATACTGACATAAACTTACGACAGTCGTGGCGGCAAAGATGTTTCGTACAGGCACAACATGGTTTGTGTTTTCTGTGAATGGCAAAGGAGTCCACATCCCTTTGTCATCCACAGTGCTAAACAAGCAAGCATGTTGGAGTTTGGATTTGGACAGGGCTACTTTTTCAAAGTAGATTGTGTGAGTAGTTTGGTGAGATACGAGGAGGTGTTGTAGAAAACTGTGTCTCTGAAACATAGAACTATCTGGCTGTGATAGGGTCCTGATTTTGTTAATGGTAGTTGTGTGTAGATACGCGTGTGTAGATATAGGGCCTGTCAGTTTGTATGTGACATTAGTCTGCTACAGTGTGGGCCACACGATGCACAATTGATAAAGGGCAATATCACCTAATATTGTGAGAAACCGAGAAACCATCAAGTGCTGACGGTAGTAGCCAACCAGTCGTGTCCTTTAAAAACCCGTGAATCAATTGTATTGTGGGAATTGTTTCAGGATGACACGAAACAATCTGATATTCCCTGACGAAACAATCTAATATTCCCTGACAAAACTATGAACATGACGAACCACGCGGCTGAGAGGTAACATTTCGTTGTGATCAATAATATGAAACTGACAAAACCATCACCATAAGAAATTTCCGCTAAAAGCAGAGCTGATTGGTCACCTGAAACACGAATACAAATAGGGTTCTGCCACAAGCATGATTCTTGTCGCTGGAACGATAGAAAATTTAGAATGCTCTGCAATAAAACTGTTTGAAAGGTTTAACGGTTTATGAATGTTGAAACCTGATCAAACAAGTTTGGAGTCGTATCTGTTTGACATGTTTAGAATCGCACAGGTGGTTCATGTTATAGCACATATAAGTATATTTTGTCCCTTTTGTTTTAATGTCAGTCTTACTTTTGCAAGTGGGACGGCTAATGCTGTGCAGGAAGGTCGTTGAAAAGTACATCGGTACCTAAATCCACTGCTTACAAAGTGCTGGTTTGTGTTTTTGTTCAAATGCCGCCTTACACTTCACGTATTCCAAACGAAAGACATAGGTTTATCGACCAACAGACGTCAATCATTAAAGGGTATAAGCCGTAATCCTTTTAATCACAGATGTTAATGATGTCATGAAATATTGCTTATTGATGTCACCTTATTCGTGATGTTACTATATTTGGACACACGCTGTGACACGGGATGCCTCCATTGGGATTAAAACATCAGATATGGCTACGATTTCATGAAAGAGACTGAGTACAAGGGGAATCTTGACGGTAAGGTAAAATGTACATAACGCATGAGAAAATAGATTGTTTGGTATGTACAGGATTAAAATTAGATATATGCTGCCTTAAACGTTTCTTCAAAGTGTTTGTGACCGAGGCCACGCTGGGAAAGGACACACTCACATTTCCGCGATCACTATTTGATAAAGATACCTGATCATGTGTATTCTCATTGCAGCAGATGTTTCCTTGAACATGGACACGGTTTTACCGTTTTACGAGTCAACGATTTACGGATTTGTCACAGAACCGACATTTGTAACAAAGAGCTGTGAAATACATGTTAATTTTAACAGAGGAGCACGATCATAATGATCGTATACCATTGTCAAAAACAATCGATTACCTACAATGACGTACAAATCACAGTTAGCGGATGCCTGTCCTTAATATCTCGAACATTGTTCGTAAAGCATCAATGTTGTTGATGGATATTGTTTGTTCGAATTAAATCAAATTATTTTGTCTAGTTTCAGAAAATGGTTAGTCTTAATTCCGATAAAAAGTTGTTCTTTTACCCACAGGTCGGTTTGGATTGGTCCGTTGTAGAAGTCATGGACACATATTTTCTACTGCATTCTGCTCACATTGGTTTTACTCACGGACAACGTCAAGGCACAAGGTATATACAAACACGAGATGCATGATGGTCCAATCCCGCGACCTTCGTCAAATGTTGGGGTCATTTGTATGTGAAGGTCTATATGTCTGTTTGCTCGGTTGTTTTAATCACAACTCATAAGCATCCCAATCTATTCCTAGCTGTTAATAATAGTGTGAAACAGACATTCTGGTGATCGACAACATAAGCAACAATTCACCCCATGAGATTACGATGACGACGCTTTCCAGCTGCTCATTCCCAGAAGAAGTTGGTGCCGAACTATTCAAAACCGAAACTCACATGGGGTGCACATAGCGTTTGGCACTAAAGAATTGGCCTCTTTCACATCTGCTATGTGTTAGATCCCAGTCAGAAACATCCACACCCTTTCTGGATAACACTCTTTGTTTGTCATCAGTTGCGTTGTTTTGCGTTTCTTTTTGTCTAAACAGTTTCTCTGCAGATTTGTTTTGTGCCTAATTCACCATAACTTACTGGTTTTAACAATACCCTTCAAATTCAAATTTCCAATACAAAAGGATTTCAGATGCTGAACATTGCTGCGGATGTCATAAATTCCACACCACGATTTACACAACTTGGTGACAGTTATTGCCTACGCTAAAAACAGTTGATGATTTTCTTTAAGCTTTTGTCCTTATAATTTGCACACTTCGATAACAAGCATATCAGTCACAATGACGCACATTCAAACAAAATCGATTTCGACATTTAGAATTTATTGCTTTCGTTCCTGATACCAAGGAGTGAGTGCCAAGCCAACATTAAATATCCAGATCACAACTAGGTTTCAGGTTGTTTGGGTTAATTAAGTTGATATTTGTACAAGTAGACATCTAAACATTCTTCGTTTACTTAAAACATACAAGAACTGATTCATACAAGTTGTAATGCTTGAGTCCATTTTAATCTTCAGATTTTATTGCCTTCATTCCTGATACGGAGTTCATCTTTGAGAACAGAACCGACAACTGTGTAACGTTGATGCGGGCCGGATCTGCGAATGGAGATATCACAGTTTCTTACACCATTGGAGGAATCGGCATCACATCCCCTGACGATTTTGTAGCTGGGGATTTCCAAATAGTTTACCCAGCAGCATCAAGCACAATAAAAATCAACGTTACATTTAATGATAACACAGTAAGAACTTTGAATCTTCTGATATATATATCTTTCCCTCGAGGGCCTTCATTGGTAAATATGTCCATATTGGGTACTGAACATGACAGGCTTTGTCAAAGCTCAAAGCATGTTGATACAAGCCAACATGATAACTCGAGTCATGTTGAATTGATGTCGTAACGTTTCATTCCAAACTACAACAGAACAAGAATGTTTTAGTGTTTCTGATAAGTGTTCATTGTGCTCATTCATTTTGACATGCCCTTTCAAATGCAAACCTGATCAACTCGACATGCTAATGAATAACCTGAAATGGATCGCAAATAGCATAATTGCACATGACGTTGTCTGAGGCACAAATAGCTACAAATTTGCCTCATACTATATTCTATCACTGACTTTCATATCTTAAAACGTCCCTCCTGTCAATGTTTCATCCTTTATAAAAATGAAAAAGCAGCACACAAGACAAAGAGGATACATTATCTCAGTTTCTTGATACGTCTACGAATCACGCCTATTTTAGGGGTATTGAAAAACATTTGAGTTGCTGGAGGATGTGTACATTCGGTGAGAAAAAGGAACCAATCAAGAGATAGGATATGCCTATATGGGCGTCAGTGAAGGATTGTTAGCATTCGACTTCCAAATTGTCCCACGGATTGTTGTAGCTACCTCAACCATATAAACATTGCACACTCTTCATTAAGGTCTGTGACACTGGCACTCGACTGATAAATGTGACCCTCACAAGCTTAGATAAAGGATCCCTAACTGCAACGCCTCTCAGCAAGTTTTTCCAGGTGCTCGATGACGATGGTGGTGAGTCAGTATAGCTAAATCCGCACTTTGATGCCCGTCACCATGCAGCTGTATATAGTAACTACTTACAAGTGTATTTATCATTCAGATATTACATACCTAAATATCACGTTGATATGTGATCACACGCTCGTGTAGTTGAACCAATTCCTTGAATATATTTTGGATTAAAACAAGGGAATCATTGTACAATGTTATTATCTGAGTAAAACGCCTAATAGAAGTCCATTTATGGACACCCAATAGATGTCTTTTTATGGACAATTATATGCGTGATTACACAGGCGCATTGTGATGGATCTGATTAAAATATTGTTGTAATTAATGATAGCATTAAGAATACAAATATGCTGAAAATCCCATATGATTATACACAACATGAAGGCCAGAGAATTACCATTAATAACGAAAAATGACGTTTAATGTCTGCAGGTGGCGGCATAAGCACAGAAACTGTTGTAAACGTTGAGATTGGTGTTGTACCATTGTTAATCCACTGACGATATAATCTTGGATCACAAAATTCCTTTGGCACATACTTTAAGTTTGAACATCAAAGTCGTGTGCACTCAGTTCCAATTATCTTCCCTACTGATTGTTTGTTTGTCTTAATTACAGATGTACAGTTGCCTTTTATTAAATCATGTTGTGAATAGGTTTCCTCCAGTTTATGCCATTAAAAGGTCCAATGTGAAGGCTGCTTTATTGGTGATCTGTTACAGAGTGGACCGAATGGACAACTGTACTAGGCGTCTGTGACTGTTCCACGAATATCCAACTACGCACCAGAAATAGAACATGTGATGACAAAGGGCAGTCCTTTCGAACTTGTGTTGGTGACTCGAGCGTGTTAGATACCATCGATTGTTCTGGTGATCCTAACTGCACATCTCCAGGTACGAATCACTCACTTTGCACTGAAATGTATGCAAATGCTTAATCGTAGATTTTCATGAACTGGTTGATCGTCTTAATTGTTGTGCTAGTCAAAAGTGATACAAAACGTTTGTTTGGCTTCCGTGTGGATCCTCAAGTACTTGCGTTTGGTTTGAACATTTGGGATACTCCAACTGGAAATCAATATGTAATTTTGGGGAGATAGTCACCATTACTGCTAACATTAAATATCCAGACCAAAACTAGGTTTCAGGGTGTTTGGGTTTATTAAGTTGTCATTTGTACACTTAGATACACATTTGCTAAAAAAACACACAACTACTGATCGTTACAAGTTGTAATGCTTGAAACCATTTTAATCTTCAGATTTTATTGCTTTCATTCCTGATACGGAGTTCATCTTTGAGAACAGAACCGACAACTGTGTAACGTTGATGCGGGCCGGATCTGCGAATGGAGATATCACAGTTTCTTACACCATTGGAGGAATCGGCATCACATCCCCTGACGATTTTGTAGCTGGGGATTTCCAAATAGTTTACCCAGCAGCATCAAGCACAATAAAAATCAACGTTACATTTAATGATAACACAGTAAGAACTTTGAATCTTCTGATATATATATCTTTCCCTCGAGGGCCTTCATTGGTAAATATGTCCATATTGGGTAATGAACATGACAGGCTTTGTCAAAGCTCAAAGCATGTTGATACAAGCCAACATGATAACTCGAGTCATGTTGAATTGATGTCGTAACGTTTCATTTTAAACTACAACAGAACAAGAATGTTTTAGTGTTTCTGATAAGTGTTCATTGTGCTCATTCATTTTGACATGCCCCTTCAAATGCAAACCTGATCAACTCGACATGCTAATGAATAACCTGAAATGGATCGCAAATAGCATAATTGCACATGACGTTGTCTTAGGCACAAATAGCCACAAATTTGCCTCATACTATATTCTATCACTGACTTTCATATCTTAAAACGTCCCTCCTGTCAATGTTTCATCCTTTATAAAAATGAAAAAGCAGCACACAAGACAAAGAGGATACATTATCTCAGTTTCTTGATACATCTACGAATCACAACTATTTTACGGGTATTTAGAAACATTTGAGTTGCTGGAGGATGTGTAGATTTGGTGAGAAAAAGGAACCAATCAAAGAGATGGGATATGCCTATATGGGCGTCAGTGAAGGATTGTTAGCATTCGACTTCCAAATTGTCCCACGGATTGTTGTAGCTACCTCAACCATATAACATTGCACACTCTTCATTAAGGTCTGTGACACTGGCACTCGACTGATAAATGTGACCCTCACAAGCTTAGATAAAGGATCCCTAACTGCAACGCCTCTCAGCAAGTTTTTCCAGGTGCTCGATGACGATGGTGGTGAGTCAGTATAGCTAAATCCGCACTTTGATGCCCGTCACCATGCAGCTGTATATAGTAACTACTTACGAGGGTATTTATCATTCAGATATTACATACCTAAATATCACGTTGATACTTGATCACACGCTTGTGTAGTTGAACCAATTCCTTGAATATATTTTGGATTAAAACAAGGGAATCATTGTACAATGTTATTATCTGAGTAAAATGCCTAATAGATGTCCCTTTATGGACACCCAATAGATGTCTTTTTATGGACAATTATATGCGTGATTACACAGGCGCTTTGTGATGGATCTGATTAAAATATTGTTGTAATTAATGTTAGCATTAAGAATACAAATATGCTGAAAATCCCATATGATTATACACAACATGAAGGCCAGAGAATTACCATTAATAACGAAAAATGACGTTTAATGTCTGCAGGTGGCGGCATAAGCACAGAAACTGTTGTAAACGTTGAGATTGGTGTTGTACCATTGTTAATCCACTGACGATATAATCTTGGATCACAAAATTCCTTTGGCACATACTTTAAGTTTGAACATCAAAGTCGTGTGCACTCAGTTCCAATTATCTTCCCTACTGATTGTTTGTTTGTCTTAATTACAGATGTACAGTTGCCTTTTATTAAATCATGTTGTGAATAGGTTTCCTCCAGTTTATGCCATTAAAAGGTCCAATGTGAAGGCTGCTTTATTGGTGATCTGTTACAGAGTGGACCGAATGGACAACTGTACTAGGCGTCTGTGACTGTTCCACGAATATCCAACTACGCACCAGAAATAGAACATGTGATGACAAAGGGCAGTCCTTTCGAACTTGTGTTGGTGACTCGAGCGTGTTAGATACCATCGATTGTTCTGGTGATCCTAACTGCACATCTCCAGGTACGAATCACTCACTTTGCACTGTAATGTATGCAAATGCTTAATCGTAGATTTTCATGAACTGGTTGATCGTCTTAATTGTTGCACTGGTCAAAAGTAATACAAAAGGTTAGTTCGGCCGCGGTGTGTATTCTGAAGTACTTGCGTTTGGTTTGAACATTTGGGATACTCCAACTGGAAACAGATGTGTAATTTGAGGAGGTGAGAATGGGGATGGGGGTGGTGGGGCAGCCCATTACTGACGATATTAAATATCCAGACCAAAACTAAGGTATCTGGGCTAATTAAGTTGTCATTTGTACACTAAGATATGTACACCATCTTCCTTTACTTAAAACAGACAAGTAATGATCGTTACAAGTAATGTAATGTTTGAATTCATTTTGATCTTCAGATTTTATTGCTTTCATTCCTGATACGGAGTTCATCTTTGAGAACAGAACCGACAACTGCGTAACATTGATGCGGGCCGGATCTTCGAATGGAGATATCACAGTTTCTTACACCATTGGAGGAATCGGCATCACATCCCCTGACGATTTTGTAGCTGGGGATTTCCAAATAGTTTACCCAGCAGCATCAAGCACAATAAAAATCAACGTTACATTTAATGATAACACAGTAAGAACTTAAAATCTTCAGATATATATCTTTTCCCTCGAGGGCCTTCATTGGTAAATATGTCCATATTGGGTAGTGAACATTACAGTATATATCAAAGTTCAAAGCATGTTGATACAAGCCAACATGATAACTCGAGTCATGTCGAGTTGATGTCGTAACGTTTCATTCCAAACTACAACAGAACAAGAATGTTTTAGTGTTTCTGATAAGTGTTCATTGTGCTCATTCATTTTGACATGCCCTTTCAAATGCAAACCTGATCAACTCGACATGCTCATGAAACACCTGAATTATATTGCAAATAGTATTGGGATATGCCAATATGGGCGTCAGTGAAGGATTGTTAGCATTCGACTTCCAAATTGTCCCACGGATTGTTGTAGCTACCTCAACCATATAAACATTGCACACTCTTCATTAAGGTCTGTGACACTGGCACTCGACTGATAAATGTGACCCTCACAAGCTTAGATAAAGGATCCCTAACTGCAACGCCTCTCAGCAAGTTTTTCCAGGTGCTCGATGACGATGGTGGTGAGTCAGTATAGCTAAATCCGCACTTTAATGCCCGTCACCATGCTGCTGTATATAGTAACTACTTCCTGCAGCTTTCTATTATTCAGATATAACATGACGATATTTTGGAGTTAAACCAGGGAATCACTCTTCATTTTTATCTGAGTAAAATGCCTAACAGCTATCTTTTTTTCATTTGACGAAATGCGATGGGTCCAATTGTGATAATGTTAAATTACGTTTTAGCATTATGAAGACGAAAATGTTGAAAATGTGATCTTTTTGGTACACGTACAGAACGTGAAAAACGCTTTTCACGTCTACTGTTGTAAACGAAACCAAGTCACCTTGCCTTGCCATATTTGTGGTGTGCTTCAGAGTGGACCGAGTGGACAACTGTACTTGGTGTCTGTGAATGTTCCACCAGCACCCAACCGAGGACGAGAAACAGAACATGTGATGACAAAGGGCAGTCCTTTCGAACTTGTGTTGGCGACTCCAGCGTGATGGATACTGTCGACTGTTCTGGCACTCCTATTTGTACCGGCACAAGTAATTTCTGCATATGTACCATTCAGTACCATTCAGTACCATAATAATCGTCAACGCTAATATTCGTATCTACACAAAAGGATTTCTTAAGGCCTGATATTGGTAAATAGAGTAATAAATAGAGGCTTGAAAATCGATGACAACACAGGTGTTCGCGAAACCCGTTCTTGCTTCTTTTGACTTATGGTCAAAACCGATTTAAGAAATTGAAACTGATGATGCTATTGGCTTCTTTAACTTGATTCCTATGTACACGTGATCTCAAGACCCCTGATGCTCAATTTTGGTAAAGTCAGCATCCGGGGGGAAAAGAAATTCGATGTGAAAAACTTTACTTACGGATTTTAATTAAAAAAAATATCGACGTTATGTGCACGATTGTGAAAATAAAAGAATATAACAATATAATATGACCCCCATCTCTATCTCCAACCCCTTGAAACTGCCGTGGATCTGGTTTCAATGACTAGTCATGATACGTCAATCACGCTCATGTGATTCCATCAAAAGCCAAGACTAATTTATCCCTCGACATACACTCTTAAAAAAAAGAAACGCACTGGCCCAAAATAGGGAAATGTATTCTAAGTATTAAAGTATATATAAGTCGTTCAAGCTTGAACATGGATGAATGAAATTCGTCACAGGGGTGAACATAAGTATTGTTGCCATTGTCAGCATTGATTCAGTTCACTTACTGCACATGTGTGGACACTAGGGGGCGTTCAGGTCAGTACCTTGTGACACCACCCCTTGCAGCCGTCACTGCCTTGAAAGGGATTGCACAAGTCGTTGGATTTTTGGGGAATTCTTTGCCATTCATCCTACAACCCGTTGGCAAGTTCTGCAAGTGTCTGAGGACGATGGTGACGTTTACGGACGCATGGATCAATTTCGTCCCATAGATGCTCGATCGTGTCCAGATCCGGCGATTTGGAAGGCCCGGGAAGGCATTGACATTTGCATTGGCGAGATAGGCGGCTGTTACACGAGTTGTGTGGGGTCGAGCATTGTCGTGTTGAAACAGCTCCCTCTGGAGTGGGATCAGGTGAGGTCGCAGAATCTGGTGGATGAAGCGATTTGCTGTAAGGTTGCCTTGAACCACCACTAGATCTGATTTACCCGTAAAGGACACTTCCCCACACCATGACGCTCTCTCCACCAACTCTGTCCACCTGTCGAACGCAGTTCGGCGCAAAACGTTCGTGTCGACGTCGATGAACCAAACGCGTCGCCAGCTGCACAGGTTCCATGCCTGTACCCTGTTGCACCACTGGACACGTCGCTGTCCGTGTAGTCGTGTCAGGGCACGTCGCTGTCCGTGTAGTCGTGTCAGGACAGGACCAACCTTTGGTCGATATGCTCGAATTCCCACTTCTGTCAGACGATTTCTAATGGTTTGGTCGGAAATTTTTCGAAGACCAGGTACATACTGTAGCAAATCGGTGATGGAGGTGAAACACTCGTATGAATCGGGCCGGAGCATGAGTGGTCATTCTTGACCTTCCACTTCTGGGACGATCTTGGGTCGAATTGAAACGGGCATATCGATGCCATAATCGAGATATGGTATTGTGGTGGATGTTGAAGTGTGACTCCCTTGCTTCCAAACCCCCAATGGCGAAATTTCGGTCAGAACCATTCAATCTTGGCATTTTTTATCTTCGTTTACATCGTAAATTTCGTAATGAAATGATGAATTTGGTTTGGCCTTTCATAGTCGATGTCTCTGCTCATGTGTCCAACACGTTGCACGTGCCTAATGTGGAAAACGTTTTCTGCATGCACTTTTCATGTATCGTTTTCATTCTTTATGACAAACGTTTACAAACACATTTTGGAGCGCGTTTGCGGGCAATACACAACAACCACGATATGATTAACGGGATTCAAACTAAGAAATTGTCTTAATGACGATTGCTGTCAAAATATATCGAAATGAAACGCTGAAAACGTCGATGCTTTTTTTCTTCTTTTATTTGAAGAGTGTATTACCTTACAAATACAGTGTTAAACGGTTAATTCATTCATCATATTAGTATGTCTTACATTTGATAATTATCCAGCATCTGTATTGTAAATAAACAGAAACTAGCAGCATTGTATTCACTCTTTGCTGATATTTCTTTCAGCCACAGCTTTACCAACACCAACGACAATAACAACAACGCCAACACTAACCACAACTACAACATCAACACCAACAACCACGCCGACGCTAACCACATCTACGTCATCAATACCGACCATCACACCATCACTTACGACAACAACGACATCAACACCATCTACAACACAATTGCAATCCACAACGTTTACACCAACCACAACTCCATTGCCAACTACAACGGCACTGCTAACAACAACTACAACATCAACACCAACAACCACGCAGACATTAACAACAACAGCAACATCAACACCAACAACCACTCCGACGCTAACCACAACCACAACATCAACACCAACAACCACTCCGACGCTAACCACAACTACAACATCAACACCAACACCACGCCAACATTGACCACAACTACGACATCAATACCAACAACCATGCTAACATTGACCACAACTACAACATCAACAGCAACAACCATGCCAACATTAACCACAACTACGACATCAATACCAACAACCACTCCGACGCTAACCACAACTACAACATCAACACCAACAACCACGCCAACATTGACCACAACTACGACATCAATACCAACAACCACGCCGACATTAACCACAACTACAACATCAACACCAACAACCATGCCAACATTGACCACAACTACGACATCAACACCAACAACCATGCCAACATTAACCACAACTACGACATCAATACCAACAACCACTCCGACGCTAACCACAACTACAACATCAACACCAACAACCACGCCAACATTGACCACAACTACGACATCAATACCAACAACCACTCTGACGCTAACCACAACTACAACATCAACACCAACAACCTCTCCGATGCTAACCACAGTTACAACATCAACACCAACAACCATGCCGACAATAACCACAACTACAACACCAACACCAACAACCACTCCGACGCTAACCACAACTACATCAACACCAACAACCACTCCGACAATAACCACAACTACAACATCTACACCAACAACCACGCCAACATTAACCACAACTACAACATCAACACCAACAACCACTCCAACGCTAACCACAACTACAACATCAACACCAACAACCACGCCGACATTAACCACAGCTACAACATCAACACCAACAACCACGCCGACATTAACAACAACTACAACATCAATACCAACAACCACTCCGACGCTAACCACAACTACAACATCAACACCAACAACCACGCCGACATTAACCACAACTACGACATCAATACCAACAACCAAGCTGACAATAACCACAACTACGACATCAATACTAACAACCACGCCGACAATAACAACAACTACGACATCAACACCAACAACCACGCCGAAATTAACAACAACTTCAACATCAATTCCAACAACCACTCCGACGCTAACCACAACTACAACATCAACACCAACAACCATGCCAACATTAACAACAACTACGACATCAATACCGACAACCACTCTGACGCTAACCACAACTACAACATCAACACCAACAACCACGCCGACAACGACAACAACTACAACATCAACACCAACAACCACGCCAACATTGACCACAACTACAACACCAACAACCAAGCTGACAATAACCACAACTACGACATCAATACCAACCACGCCGACAATAACCACAACTACAACATCAACACCAACAACCACGCCAACATTAACAACAACTACAACATCAATACCAACAACCACTCCGACGCTAACCACAACTACAACATCAACACCAACAACCATGCCAACATTAACCACAACTACGACATCAATACCAACAACCACTCTGACGCTAACCACAACTACAACATCAACACCAACAACCACGCCAACATTGACCACAACTACGACATCAATACCAACAACCACGCCAACATTAACCACAACTATAACATCAACACCATCAACCATGCCAACATTGACCACAACTACGACATCAACACCAACAACCATGCCAACATTAACCACAACTACGACATCAACACCAACAACCACTCCGACGCTAACCACTACAACATCAACACCAACAACCACGCCGACATTGACCACAACTACGACATCAATACCAACAACAACTCCGACGCTAACCACAACTACAACATCAACACCAACAACCTCTCCGATGCTAACCACAGTTACAACATCAACACCAACAACCATGCCGATGCTAACCACAACTACAACATCAACACCAACAACCATGCCAACATTAACCACAACTACAACATCAACACCAACAACCACGCCGACATTAACCACAACTACAACATCAACACCAACAACCACGCCGACATTAACCACAACTACAACATCAACACCAACAACCACTCCGACGCTAACCACAAACTACACACAACATCAACACCAACAACAACCACCTCCGACAATAACCACAACTACAACATCAACACCAACAACCACGCCGACATTAACCACAACTACAACATCAACACCAACAACCTCTGCCATGCATTAACCACAACTACAACATCAACACCAACAACCACGCCAACATTAACCACAACTACAACATCAACACCAACAACCACGCCGACGCTAACCACAACTACATCAACACCAACAACCACTCCGACAATAACCACAACTACAACATCAACACCAACAACCACGTCGACATTAACAACAACTACAACATCAATACCAACAACCACTCCGACGCTAACCACAACTACAACATCAACACCAACAACCACGCCGACATTAACAACAACTACGACATCAATACCAACAACCACTCTGACGCTAACCACAACTACAACATCAACACCAACAACCACGCCGACATTAACAACAACTACGACATCAAACAACAACCACTGACGCTAACCACAACCAACAACCACTCTGACGCAATAACCACAACTACAACATCAACACCAACAACCACACCGACAATAACCACAACTACAACATCAACACCAACAACCACGCTGACAATAACCACAACTACGACATCAATACCAACAACCACGCCGACAAATAACAACAACTACGACATCAACACCAACAACCACGCCGAAATTAACAACAACTACAACATCAATTCCAACAACCACTCCGACGCTAACCACAACTACAACATCAACACCAACAACCATGCTGACATTAACAACAACTACAACATCAATACCAACAACCACTCTGACGCTAACCACAACTACAACATCAACACCAACAACCACGCCGACATTAACAACAACTACGACATCAATACCAACAACCACTCTGACGCTAACCACAACTACAACATCAACACCAACAACCACGCCGACACTTACGACAACAACGACATCAATGCCATCAACAACACCATTGCAAACCACAACATTCATACCAACCACAACTCCATTGCCAACTACAACTACAACCACAACTGCGACATCAACATCAACATCAACACCAAAACCAACAACAACGCCATATCAATCGACAACAGTGACATCAGTCCCAACACCATCACTTACAACAACGATATTTGTACGAACAACAACACCTTCACCAACCACAACTGCGACATCTGTACAAACCACAACACCATCGATATCCACAAGTCCTTGGTCAGCCTGGACGGCACGAACGCCATGGACAGCCTGGACAGCATCAACACCATGGACGTCCTGGACGGCACCAACACCATGGACAGCTTGGTTGGCACCAACTTCATGGACTGCCTGGACGGCACCAAAGCCGTGGACAGCCTGGACGGCACCAACGCCATGGACAGCTTGGTTGGCACCAACCCCATGGACGGCCTGGACGGCACCAAAGCCGTGGACAGCCTGGACGGCACCAACGCCATGGGCAGCTTGGTTGGCACCAACCCCATGGACGGCCTGGACGGCACCAAAGCCGTGGACAGCCTGGACGGCACCAACGCCATGGACAGATTGGTCGGCACCAACTTCATGGACAGCCTGGACGGCACCAAAGCCGTGGACAGATTGGACGGCACCAACACCATGGACAGCCTGGACGGCACCAACTCCATGGACAGCCTGGACGGTACCAACACCATGGACGGCCTGGACGGCACCAAAGCCGTGGACAGATTGGACGGCTTGGACGGCACCAACTCCATGGACAGCCTGGACCGCACCAAAAGTATGGACAGCCTGGACGGTACCAACACCATGGACAGCGTGGACGGCACCATCGCCATGGACAGCCTGGACGGTACCAACACCATGGACAGATTGGTCGGCACGAACGCCATTGACAGCTTGGTCGGCACTAAAGTCACGTGAGTTTTGTAATATATGTGCTTCATTGCGATTACATGAAGTTTAACTTGTGTCATCAGATGGAAGGGCCAAGGGGCCATCTATGTGGTATTCAGTAGAGGGGTGAGATTAGGAATGGGGACCATCCCAACTGTAACCTTAGACCCACTCTCAGCCAGAGAATATTAAACAGTCCGTCTCTGAGAGCAAGGCAACTTGTTCAAGCTCCTTCTTCTCTTTGTCAGGATGCTACGGCCCCTGGGGGTGTTGGGAGCCTAGGAGGTGCTCGGTGACGTGTGGGGAGGGCGTGACGATCGAGAAGCGAACCAGAGAACTGATGGAAACACCCACTAGTGACTGTGACGGCCCACTTGAGGAGCAGAGACAAGCAGCCTGCAACATGGGTGAATGTGATGCGGATACAGGTGCGAGTCAGATGTGAAATACATCATAGTCATCATCATCATCATCATCATCATCATCATCGTCGTCGTCGTCGTCGGCGGCGGCGGCGGCGGCGGCATTCATCATCATCATGCATAAAACATCATCAATGATGTATGTACTATTCAAGAATGATTCTTTCAATTGTGTAAATGATTTTGCAATGCATTGATCAATAATCACATACATGAGATGCTACTGTGACGTAAAAGTAACAGTTACGAATCATTTGTTTCTATGGAAACAAGATCAGGTATCATTGCTTGTAGGAGCTATCTTGTGAGTGAGTGGGCTAGGTGTTATCCCAGTTTGAGCTGTATCTTCTTAATCCCAATGTTTTGGAGTGTGCTGATCTGAGCACCCCCAACTATGTGAATAGATCACCGAAATTATTGACAGTGGTTGCAAAAGTATTTGAAATTTACAAACATTATTTTAACAAGTGCTTACTTAAGTATCCCTCACATGTGCATATATGAATATGAAGTTGTTTCCACTATCATGTAAGAGCGTTTTTGCAACTATATAGATGTTGGCGAGTGGACCACATGGGTTGGAGTGTCCCAGTGCTCAGCAACCTGCAATGGGTATATGACCCAGAACCGCCGCAGAGCGTGCACGGTACCCACGGGCTGCTCTTGGGACCTGATTCAGTCCAGACAAATGTTATGTTCACATCAGTGCTGGTAGTCGAGCTGTCAGGACGAAGGTATGTAGTTTTCATGAATAATTATGTACTTGTCGTCATCTGTGAAGCTATCACAGACATATACTTATCGTCATCTGTGAAACCATCACAGACATATACTTATCGTCATCTGTGAAGCTATCACAGACATATACTTATCGTCATCTGTGAAGCTATCACAGACATATACTTATCGTCATCTGTGAAGCTATCACAGACATATACTTATCGTCATCTGTGAAGCTATCACAGACATATACTTATCGTCATCTGTGAAGCTATCACAGACATATACCTATCGTCATCTGTGTAGCTATCACAGACATATACTTATCGTCATCTGTGAAGCTATCACAGACATATACTTATCGTCATCTGTGAAGCTATCACAGACATATACTTATCGTCATCTGTGAAGCTATCACAGACATATACTTTATCGTCATCTGTGAAGCTATCACAGACATATACTTATCGTCATCTGTGAAGCTATCACAGACATATACTTATCGTCATCTGTGAAGATATCACAGACATATACTTATCGTCATCTGTGAAGCTATCACAGACATATACTTATCGTCATCTGTGAAGCTATCACAGACATATACTTATCGTCATCTGTGAAGCCATCACAGACATATACTTATCGTCATCTGTGAAACCATCACAGACATATACTTATCGTCATCTGTGAAGCTATCACAGACATATACTTATCGTCATCTGTGAAGCTATCACAGACATATACTTATCGTCATCTGTGAAGATATCACAGACATATACTTATCGTCATCTGTGAAACCATCACAGACATATACTTATCGTCATCTGTGAAGCTATCACAGACATATACTTATCGTCATCTGTGAAGCTATCACAGACATATACTTATCGTCATCTGTGAAACCATCACAGACATATACTTATCGTCATCTGTGAAGCTATCACAGACATATACTTATCGTCATCTGTGAAGCTATCACAGACATATACTTATCTTCATCTGTGAAGCTATCACAGACATATACTTATCGTCATCTGTGAACTTATCACATTCCTGTATCTTACCGAGATCAGAACATTTGAAACTTGTGTCTTTTTCTGATTTATTTTCAGATTTGCTGCGATTTAGGCATTCCTTTGCAGATATCGATGGTTTGAATGTTTCCTAAATGCATAAATTATGTATGTTGCAGCTAGCATTTTTGTTTACTTTTTTTTATCACACCAGACTCAGCAATACACAGCCGTTATACTGCCTGTGTGTATTGGACCCTATTACATCTTAGCAATAACAAAGAGGTAGGAGTAAGTGAGTCGAACTTCTGGGACCACCTTTGAAGATTCTGAATTGATCTTCACCAATTCATATGCTTTCCGTGGGTTCAGGCGGCCAGGCTTCCCGACTAGAACGATGCTCATGACGTCATACACTTGACTGTCTGGTCCAGACCTCCAACAGTGACGTATAAAGTATTTTATTAACGAAATACGCTTCACCTGAATGCTCTCCCTTACACCAGACCAAGGTAAACAAATGAGCCTGTCATACAATGGAGACAATGCAGTCTTACTCCTCGTCTTGCTTTGGCAATGTTAGACAGAGTGATATTATACCAAGTTACCCATGTAGGGAATCGAACCCATGCTTTTGGCGAGACCCGTAAAACACTTAGTATTTAAGCCACGATATCGCCAGCAGTTTAACTATTGACATGTCTTGATAAACATGTTGGTGTGTGTCAGTAAAATATTGATAAACAATTATACAACTTGTTGGCTTACAAATGTCACATATCCATTTAAGATCTAGATTTGCCGTGGGCTTGAAGGGTTTACTGTGACCAGCTGTGTCATGCTTCAGAGTTGCATAGTAGTTAGTTGCGTAGTAGTTGGGTAAAATGACGGAGTCAGCGGAATTCACACCTACACTATCACTTGGAAGAAAACAAGTACATGTTAAGGCATCCATAATGTTCGTACAACCAGAGTATCTCGGATAGGTACGCACACATGAAATTCATATTTTGTTTCAGAAGCTTAAATATTAGACGTCAACACCAGGGAATACACAATCGCTTATTAATGGATTCCATTGAACACAAAGAATAAAGGACCCGTTATAAACTAACGCTTGAATATATATACGTTTGATTGTAACACAGACCAGAGAACATGGGGAAATCTAGACTTGCTGCATTTAGGACTTTAGCATTGCAGGGAGGGCTAGCCCGTAGGGAAAATACTATGGTTCAGGGACTGTGAGACTATACCCGTGAAAATTGTGAGTAGATAGGTATTGAATCCTAGAAGAGATAACGCGACAATGTCCCTTCTAGGATTACATAGATAGGTATTTGCAAAAAGTGTAAGCATGACCTTCCCAACCCGTCACAAATACATGCACAGTCAGTTGTTCCCCTGAAAAGCAAAGCGGTATCATATCATATATTTGCTTTCAATGATATCCCGGCCTGCGTTCTGAACACGAAACACTCAGGAGAGTCTAGTTATATTTTTTCTGATTTAACCAATTGCCCTATTGTCATGTTAATGATTTAATCGTTTCCATTAGGCGTGTTTGGTTGAGTGAATAAGAAGTTGTTATAAAGGCACTTTCAACAGTATTTCTGTTATACCTCGCGTTGGGGAGGTGGTACCGAACCCCGAACGATGCAGGTGTAAAAGTCAATAAGATGGGTATGCAGACAAACCTGGAAACGGACAATCGAGATACCAGCCCATGATGTTCAACGTTTGACAAGCCCATGTGATACAGCTCCGTACAAAGAATCGTAACGCTTCCCATAGAATCGAGGCACCATCTCATTTGAAACTCCTTGTTGACCAACATGCTCAAAACAGCTCTGTAACTCAGCAGGAAATCAAATGTGAAACCATTGCGTTATCGATTATGTTTTGACGATAACGAATGAGGACACTTTCAGTGATTACCAATGTTCCTGTTGTTAATGGTAGATTGTTAGCATTAGTGTTGCATATGTCGGCAAAGGGAAATAAGGCTTAGCCTTTCAAAGTTGACGTTTATCACTGACTTCCGTCCATTTCTCTCTGGACACTTTCGGCAGGATATCTCTTTGACAGTCATATTTTCCTTCGAAAACCTCATTCATTGATCAACTGATGCCTATTGGGTTGTTGTTAACAGGTGGCATATTGAGTCTTTCCTAAAATAATGATATTTGCTTATCAACAATTCCCATATATAGAAAAACTAAATTCGTGATCTATCAGTAATGCATGAAGTAGTTACCGGGAATAAGGAAATCGTGTACTGGAAATATAAAGAGATCTGACCATTATTAAGTTAGGTAAACGTTGGTAGAATAATGAAAGTACATATCTGCCGTAGTTGAGCATGTTCATTGATCATTGTCACATGGTGGCAAGACAAACATCAAACATGCGAGTGTTGTGTCCAGCTTCTCACTCTGTAACATCAAACATGCGAATGTTGTATCCAGCTTCTCAATCTGTAACATCAAACATGCGAGTGTTGTGTCCAGCTTCTCACTCTGTAACATCAAACATGCGAGTGTTGTGTCCAGCTTCTCAATCTGTAACATCAAACATGCGAGTGTTGTGTCCAGCTTCTCAATCTGTAACATCAAACATGCAAGTGTTGTGTCCAGCTTCTCACTCTGTAACATCAAACATGCGAGTGTTGTGTCCAGCTTCTCAATCTGTAACATCAAACATGCGAGTGTTGTGTCCAGCTTCTCACTCTGTAACATCAAACATGTAAGTGCTGTGTCCAGCTTCTCACTCTATAACATCAAACATGTAAGTGCTGTGTCCAGCTTCTCACTCTATAACATCAAACATGCGAGTGTTGTGTCCAGCTTCTCACTCTGTAACATCAAACATGCGAAGTGTTGTGTCCAGCTTCTCAATCTGTAACATCAAACATGCGAGTGTTGTGTCCAGCTTCTCACTCTGTAACATCAAACATGCGAGTGTTGTGTCCAGCTTCTCACTCTGTAACATCAAACATGCGAGTGTTGTGTCCAGCTTCTCACTCTGTAACATCAAACATGCGAGTGTTGTGTCCAGCTTCTCACTCTGTAACATCAAACATGCGAGTGTTGTGTCCAGCTTCTCAATCTGTAACATCAAACATGCGAGTGTTGTGTCCAGCTTCTCACTCTGTAACATCAAACATGCAAGTGTTGTGTCCAGCTTCTCAATCTGTAACATCAAACATGCGAGTGTTGTGTCCAGCTTTTCAATCTGTAACATCAAACATGCGAGTGTTGTGTCCAGCTTCTC